CTTCCTTCCTTCCTTCCTTCCTTCCTTCCTTCCTTCCTTCCTTCCTTTCTTTCTTTCTTTCTTTCTTTCTTTCTTTCTTTCTTTCTTTCTTTCTTTCTTTCTTTCTTTCTTTCCTTCTAGCCAAAGAGACGCAGAGCTTGCGGCGTGGCTGTTGCAAGCACCCGACCCGCCCCAGACCACACTGGACACTGCAGCACCCCGTGTCCTAGACACACACATGCCCAGAAAAAGGAACACGTGATTTCTCCCAAACACAGTCTTTTCAAATAGTCAAGCAGGTGAAATGGAGAGTCTCGTGGGTAGAGACCCCGAATTACTCTTCAGACAGGACCGAGCTGCGACCCGTCCACCCTCCAGAACCACGGCTCCCTTCTCAGGACGCAGGAGGAAGCACGGCACGCGCCTCGCCTGGCTCTCAGGGCCGCCGCGCCACTGTCTGCTTCCGTGGCTGTGGACAGCGGCTTCCCAAGGCCGGAGACGGTATTTACTAGTTACTCACCCCACAGGAGGTCCTGGCCTCTCCGGAGGAAGGGGAAGAGGCCGTGTGCGCAGGCCGCCACCAGCATGACGCCCAGGACGGTGAGTGCTCTCCTTCTGACGGCGGAACCGGCGGAGAACAAGCGGCCCATCAGGGCGACGTCCGCATGAGCTGCTTCTCTGGGACCTTGTGAGCGGGACACTCTGTCATTGGGCTCTTCACTACGCGTCCAGCTCCGTACTCAGCGTCCCCCCAGCTGGGTCTGAGGCCCAAAGACTCTGAGCTGCCTCCCGGACGGCTGCTGCCGCCCTATAAACCCTCCTGCACTTCCGTGCCCGCTGGAGCGTCAGCGGCCGGGCGGCTCCCACGCCCTTGGGCTGGCGCCAAGCCTCCGGGATGCCGTCATGAGCAAGCGTCCCCCGTCCAGGTCCTCCAGGCGGAGCCCCTGCCCCCGCCAGGAAGAAGGAGGAGGCATGTGTGCTGAGGAGAAAGAAGCCAGCTACAGTCACCCCCTCCTCTCCTTCCCTTCTAGAAAAGGACCTCGACCTTCAGAGGCCGCCCGACCGCATGCCGGTCCCGGTGGGCCCCTGGGGCCTGGCCGCTGGGGCCGTTATTCCCTCCTGCCTAGACGGTGAACAGGCACCTGTCCTGGGGTCTGGCGAGTAAGGCGTGTGCAGGAGGCAGGGCTCAACACGCCGACCCCGGCGGGTCTGCACCACGAGCCGGAGACGGGCACGGGGCTCCCTGCGGATGCCCAGGGAGGAAGGGTTTCCGTGGTTGGCCTCCTCTGAGGCTGTGCGTCTCGGCAGGAATGTGGTCAGCCCGGCACGACTCCACAGAGGCTCTGGCTGGCGAGGACGCCGCTGACCAGCCTTCCCTCCCGGCTGTCTTGCGGAGACGCAGACACGGTCTCCCATCCAAGCCTCTCGGGTTTCTGCTACGTGAAAAGGGTCTCCCTTCTCCTCTCCCTTCTTCTCTTCTTTCGCATTTGCTCTGGCAGGACCGCGCCTTCTCCCGGAGAGCAGCCCCCACGCCCCTCCTCTCCCGATAAGGAAAAAACAGGCAAGGAGTTCCAAGGGAGACAAGGAAATTCCTGGTGGAACATGAAGCAGATGTGGGAAGTGCTGGGGGTTATAGCAGGGCTGCGTGAGGAGGGACCCCGTCCCGGGATCCCCACCCACAGCCAAAAGCCAACCAGCGCCACCCGTGACCTTTGTAGGGTCTTGGAGCCGACGCCCAATGGCTAGGGGAGTAAAGCTGCTTTGGCTGGGGCTGACCTGTCTTTCCAAGTGCGAGCACTGAAGGGTCGGTGGGAGAGTGGGTCTGGGGGTCCCTGGAAGGCCTGGGCAAACCCACTGTGACGGGAGTCACCCCCGTCCTGGGCCCCACCCCAGGGCTCCCAGAGGGCAACCCTTTCCCCGGGCCAGGCTCTTCCTTTTGGGGGTTCCACGGGGATGCTACGGCAGCCCGACACGCTCAGACCAGGAAAGTTACTTTCAGACAAAATGCTGGCACCCGGATGAGTGTGGCTTGCTGAGAAACAGCACATTTTTAAAAAGTATGCATGTCTGATGTATTTGGGACATACTATACTCAGAGTTCATCCAGTGCTTTGTAGAGACTCAGTATTAGCAGAAATCCCGGGCTCGCATTTGAGAAACCCAGCACCCCGCGGTCCCAGCGGGGGAACGCGAGCAGACTTGAGGTCAGCTCCGCCGTCCAGCCGCGTGGACGTCACCTACCAGCGGGTCAGGGGCTGAGACTTGTGTGGTGGTCACCTGGGTCTATGCCACGGTCCCTTACCCCCTCTGGATGTGCCGTGTGCCCTCCTGAGAGGTGCTCTGCGGGGTGGCTGGCTGGGGCTGGCAGCCATGGAGGAGAGTCCTGTCGAGCTGTCCCGGGACACTGGGGTGGCGGGTGGGACTGACGGCCCCGCGGACGGCTTCTGTGCAGCTAGTCCTGCTGGTCCCTGATGGCTTCCCTCCAACACAGCGAGGCATGTGGGGACAGGGGAAGACACGTCCTGAAACACTAGGGTCCAGGGCAGAAAAGGCCAGGCCTGGGGACGTCCCTGAGGAGCTCACACTGAAGTCGCAGCATTGAACAACGTTGTCAGATGATCTAAAGATCTACAAGGGCTGAAATTAGGTCGAGAAAGTAGGCTTTTGGGAAGGAAGGGAAGGAAACGTCCTCCTCTAACCGTGGGGTCCTCCCGCAGGACGGGGAATCACGTGGACATGAGACAGATGAACAGGAGAAACACGAAGCTTTACTTGCGGTGCTCGGAGGCCCAGCAATGACCTTCCGACCTGACGTTGGCCCAAGGCAGGCGGTGTGTGGGCTGTGCGGAGAGCGGAGAAGGACCCTGCGAGGAGCTGGAGGACCCCGGGAGCTTCCGGTCGTCAGGAATTCCACACGGGTTCCGGGGGTGTCCACACGGCCTTCTCGGCTCTGAATGTCCTGCCCTGGCGACAAGGACGTCCCCGCTTGCCGCGGAGGGCACCCCTCACCTGGGACACCTCCTTCCTGCTCCCAGGGGGACAGAGGAGAGGCTGAGGCCCCTTCCCGCATGGCTGTCCCTTCAGTAACTGTTACTGAGAACAACCGTAGGCCCAGGTGGCCCGTTTTGGGGCTGCCTGCCCTCGGCCTGCCCTCGGCCCCCTCAGGGACAATGACGGAGGTCCCCTCCTGCCCAGCCCAGTGGGATTATACTGGTTGAGTTGACACAAAGTGAACAGTTTAGCCAGGATCAAAACCCACCAGGTCTTCTCCTTGCGAAGGACAAGTTCTGGTCGTTGGTGTGTTTTGTCCGAAGCGATGGCACTGGGCGGCCCTACGATCACCGTGCTGGAAGTGGACACCACCTGTCCCGTGGTCCCATCGGACCTCTCTTACCTGACGGGTCCAGGTCATGGGGCTGGGAGGACCTTGTCCTCAAGGTGCAGGAAGCCCTCGGTGACAAAATCCAGGAAGAGCTCAGAGCTCCTGTGGCTGCTAGCCGTGGGGGTGGGTTCCGTGCCGGGCCCTCAGGGCATCGGGTGGGGGCACAGGGTCCTGGAGTGCAGGGCAGGCTCGTGTGGGGCAAGGGGACCAGGAGTTTTCTCCCACGTTGGCTTCTGCTGGAATGCCCAGGACTCTCCCAGCAAAAATACATTTCAGTCCTTCTCTGAAGCTCCAAGGACAGGACGAAGCCGGCGGGAAGTGGACGTGGACGTGGACCTAAATCATCACAAACAGAAAGCAATCAATGCCAGGGAGGCGGGTCAGAGCCGAGCTCAGGAGCCCACGTGCCTTTGTCCTGCAGGTGGCTCTGACTGGTGGTGAGGCCCAGACGGAAGCCACGCGGTATGGGGACACGTGGTCAGGGGGCTGCGTGGCCTCAGGGTGTGGGCGGCAGATGGGAAGGGTCTGGGAAGCCGGCCTTCTCGCCGTCACCGTCAGCACCATTGCCTGTGTGCAGAGGAGGGACTGAGGTCTCTGGGCTCACAAAGAAACGAGGGTCTGCACTGCCACCTGTGTCCTGGGGACCTGTGCTCCTCAGTGGCCAGGAGGGACGCCCAGTGGGCCAGCCCAAAGGGGACAGCTAGTGCTATGTGCAGCTTGGGCTCTTTTCTTAGAGACAATGGAGGGAGGCTTGGGGGGACAGCAACACGGGGCTCTGGGACTTCTGGTGCCAGCTGGAGGGGGACACGCAGGAGACTGGTGGCTCGCGGGAGGCTCTGAAGCATGGACCTGGGCCCTGGGGGCCTGGGGGGTGACACTGGGGGCCTCAGCAGGTCAGAGAGGAAAGGTTGGAGCTCAGAACTGGTGGGCTCTTTCACTCATCCTTTCCACTGCTGGTTCATGGGCTCCACACACAGATGCCAGGACCCCTGTCGCCCCATGACGGCTCCTGATGGGCCCACTCCTCGCATTTCCAGTGTCCACTTCTCAGTGGCCTCCCCATGCCCAGGGGACACAACCTAACCGTGAGGTCGGAGGGGAACCCTGGCTTTGACCCACCTCTTTCTTGTTGCAGACCCACCAGTATCACTGCTGAGACTGTGCTTACGCATCTGTAAGTACATTTGGTGTGCACACACACGCGTGCGCACGCATGCACATGTACCTGCATGTGTACACACACACGTGCCTGCACTCACACCTGGCTGCACGCACACGTGCACGCACTTGCACGCACACACACCTGCCCGTGCACAAATGTGCAAGAACTCACATGTGCCCACACCTGCCTTGCACACACGTGCAAAGACTCGCACGTGCACCATTGCACACACCTGCCTGCCTTGACACGTGCACGCACTCACACCACCTGCACACACAGCGTACACTCTCAGACATACACGTGCACGCCTGTGTGCGCCCACAGGTACGTGCCCTCACACGCGCGCACACACACACACACAGGCATGGGGCCGCAGCGCCTGGCGCGGCTCACATGCACGAGTGGGAAAGACGGCTCAGACACCCTCCTCAGCCTCCCCCCAGCTCGTGCACCCCGTGCGGCATCCCAGACGTTGCTGGTGCGCGCGTGGCCGCCTCACTTGTGTCCACGCCTGTCCCACGACGGTGCCCGCGTTGTGCCTGCCGGAAGATGGCCATGGCCCAGGTGCGTACGCGTGCGAGGTCTCGGACACAGCCTGCACGCCGGCCTTCCAAGAGAGGACTGTGGGTTTTGCCGTCAGAGAACTCATGTCCTGAGAAAGCCCCGGCGCAGCCCCCAACCCCGTTTTGGCAAACTGAAGCCCACTGTGCCATTCACTCACCGTCCGCAGCATCGTCCACCCTCCCGTTTGCCGACTTGTGCACACGTTGGTCTGTGTAAAGGAAGGACCGTCACCGATGGGAAGAGAACAAGGACGCTCGGGGACAGCATCCCCATGGCTTGGTGTCGGGGCCAGACGCGCGGCCCCAGCGGGGCTCCGTCAGGCGGGCAGTGCCCCCCCCCGTGCTGCGCCGTCAGTGAAGCCGGGGGCTGGCGGGAGGGCCGCGGGCATCCCCGACCACCGTCTGCCTCTGAGGTCAACCTACAGTCATCTCAACGAGCCCCTTTTTAAGAAGAAAATGGAATCTGGGATCCAAACTCAGCTAACTTTCCTTATAAATTAGAGTCTTCATCCAGGCTCGCCCGCGGCTCTCCTGACAAGCCGT